TCCTCAGAGTCCAACCTTTTGTCCAAGCGTGGGGGACGTCCCGTTCACCGTAACTGCCGAGTACTTATGCCACACCCCTTCGGAAGTGAACGGGAAGGATTTTAAATTGCCCAGCAAGAGACTGGGATATGCTGCCTGCCATTCGTTCATCACTCTGCACCGGCAGTGACACCAGAGGGTTACTGATTCGCTCGTTGCCGCAAAGTTCACTCTCTGGGCCAGAGGCACTCTTGCCCTCTGCCAAGCTGCCAGAGCTCTGGGGCAGGTGAGCCCGAGGTGGTCACTGGGGGACCTCATTCCCCGAAGGGGCAGCTGCAGCTTCTCACAGGGCAGGTGGCCCTTCTGCCGTCATCGCTGAGACTCAGCACAGTGAAAAACGACAGCTCCTCGGGGCACTTGTTTATTCTCGTAAACCATAGGCGTCTACTGTGCTAGGGTTTCTGTGTCGGTACTAGGGGCCCCATTCAGCCTGCTCCTGAATGGTTCTCTGCTCTTCACTTCTGATGGAACCGTAGCTGGTTAGAGTCTCTTGTGAGGCTTTAGTGATGATGATCTGTGGAATGACAGCTTTCTTCTGGCTCGAGTTTACCTTTACATCAGGTTTCTCTAGAAGGAAGAAAACATCCAGGTATTTAACATGTCTGTGGAAAAGCCCTTCTAGAAGGCAGAGAATGCCTGTGTTAGGGCCAGAGCAAAAGAATTAGATGTGTGGTTCAGGAAAAGAAGTGGTCAGGGTCAAAAGCAGTCAGAACATGTTACAGAGCTTTCATGGATTGACAGCTCAGCCAGGAGGGTGGTGAGTACTCGACGCCTCTTTCAAGGAAGGAAAAGGGAGACACGCTTCCACCATCCACCGTGGAGAGTCTGAGCTGCTGGCTGGCTCGTGCAACAGACCTGGAAGGAGAGAATGGAGAAAGAAGACAAAAGGCAGAGTCTGTCCCAGAGGTGAAGGTTCAGATACGCAGTTTCCCCTGCACAGAACCTTATCAGTCAGAACGCTGAAGAATTAGCATTTCTGATGTCGGCCACGACATCCCCTTAAACTTAAGCTTCCAAGGGTTGCGCAGAGCTTGCGAAATGCCAAGGTTGTCTTACGTTACACAAGACGAAAGCAGAAGTGCTTTCTTGCCTCCAGGGTCGTGTCTCCCAGCCCCCTCCCTGGGGTTACAGGTTTGAGGCACAGCCTTTCAGGCTTCTGTTGAGGCACTACAGAGAGGTCTCTTTCTGTGCGTGTACCCAATAGAGCAGGGAGAGTTAGAATAATCGCACTGCCGCAGAATTGTTACAAAACGCTATTGGACTGGTTCCATTGCTTTGTCCCCCGCTTAAAATACCTCATGAACCCAGCTACAGGCAGGGGCGGGTGGATAGTTGCTCGTTCTGTGTCAGACATCATTCTGAGCCCAGAGTAATGATGATGGTGACTTCCAGCTCACAGCAGTTTCTGAAGTAGGTCCTCTTATGAGCTGTGTTTTACAGGTGAAGGGACTGAGGCACAGAGAGGTCATGTGCTCAAGGCTGACGGTACAGGGAGATGCTGGGGCCCCGAGCTCCCTCCTTCTTCATCACCGCATCCACAGCTCCGATGGTTTTAACTACCAGTGAAGGGCCCATGGCCTGCACCAGGCACTGAGAGTGTCCTTTTTATTTTTAGCCTAAGTAAAAAAACTGCATTTCATCATATTTTGCATTTAAGTTGGGGAGTTCATGTTTTTTATATTAATGCACACTTTTTGCGTATTAAGACTAAGAGGTGATGACCATGCGACTTAAAAACTGCATATGGAATGATGTGCACGCACTGTTTGATGCTTTTAGGGTCACATTATGGAAGGGGGAGTCCGGCAGCTGCTCGCAGGGCTTGGCTGAGCCCCGTGTTTGCACATACAGGGGTGGCCTCTTCCACGGCAGCCTGTGTTCCGCTGTCTGGGGCCCATCCATTACACAACCAGCTCCCTTTAATGAACATAACCGGGGTTATTTGCAGTTTCTATCTTTTTCAAGTGGTGCTGCAATGAACATTCTTTCATTTATGTACTTGCACATTTGTGAGGGTGTATCTACTGGGTAATTTACTGGAATGAAGATTTTGGTAAGTATTGTCCGGTTGTTTTTTGTAAAGATTACATCAATACACATTTCCACTGAGACTCTATAAACAGGACATGTCTCCATCCCCTCCCCTCATCCTTGCCAATTTGCTAAATCTTTTCCCATTTATATGGAAATGGGAAGTACTGACTTCTGCCCCCACTGGTCCCAGTCACCTTCCCTGAAGCTTTACCTTAGCATGGGGAGGTGAGCGTCTCGCTGCTTATTCACAGTCCAGTGGTGTTTATTTTCCTGTGAATGCTGGTCACGTTCTTTGCTCATTTTGCACTTGGACCTTTTTTGTGTGCAAGAGCTTTTTGTACGTTTAGGAAATTTGCCATTGGCGCTGGTACCGTAAACGGTTCAGACACATCAGTCTCTTTCTTCTGGCTCTTAGAGTCTGTCAGAGTGAAAAGGTGCTCCCTCCACCCAACCTACAAAAACCGTTACTGTTTTACTATGTTCAGTGTTCTGGTTCCTGTAGAATTGGAGTAAGGGCCGAGGCAGCGTCGTTGCTTTCTCAGTGGTCCAGTCAGCTGTCTCTGAACCACCGAGCGACTCTCCCATCTTTCCTCCACTCCTTCCACTTGGTGCCTTCATCATGAATTCCGTGACGGTGAGACACGTGTCCACCCTGCTGTCTCCATTGGCAACACACTTTCATGTCAGGGCTCAGTCCCTCTTGTGCCTCTGCTCTTCCAGTTTCCTGCTATTTTTACGTTTTTATTCTCCTAGGTAAACATTAGAATAATTTGGTCCAGTCCCCAGAAAGAACTGTGGTGTTCCGATTGGGGTCGCTGATTTTATAGACTAAGGGAGAGTTAACATCTTTACATTATTGAGGTTCTCTAATTCAGAACAAGAGTTCTTTAGAGTTTTAAAACGTTTTCACGTAGGAACACGAATCTTTTTTAGGACTCTTGATACATATTACCTGTACTAGTTTTCAATTACTGTCTGAATTACTGACTGACTGAATTACTGACTGACTGTCTGAATTACTGACTGAATTACTGTCTGAATACTGGTGAATAACTGATTTGTTAATCACCACAAATTTAGTGGCTGGCTTAAAACAGTACCTGTATTTGTCATCCCCAGTTCTGTTGGTCCTAAGTCCAGGCTACGATCCAGCTGTCAGCCAGACTGGATCTTCTCGCGGGCCTGGGGCCTTCCAAACTCATTCAGGCTGCTGGCTAGAGGTTCGTTCTTTATGGGTGAGGGACTGACGTCCCTGCTTTCTTGCTGGCCGTTGGTAGAGGTTGCTCACAGCTCCTCTCACAATGTGGCAGCTTAAAAAAAAATTCTTTTGAGATATGATTGACACGGTAGCTTCCTTCTTCACAGCCACCTGACACTGACTTTTTAAAAAAGGCTTCTCTAGTTAGGTCTGGCTGACCCAGAATAAACTCCATTTGAAGTCAAAACCAATGGATTACTAACGGGATCACAGGAGTAACACCCATCTTCTTCCCAGGCCCCGCCCACATTCAAGGGGCAGGGATTCTACAGGCGTTGTTCCCGGCAGACAGGGATCTTGGGGCCTGAGAATCCCGCCTACCACATTACCAAGTTGTCTTCAGGAAAATCCGTATTTCCATCAACAATGTGTCAGAGCACTTGATCTGTTGTGTG